GCACCAGCTTCCACAAGCAAGCGTGCAACCTCAGAATAACCACTCTCAGATGCCAGAATGAGAGCGGTGTTTCCGTGCCGATCCCGGCAATCTTTGCAAGCACCAACTTCCAACAGTAAATGTGCAACTTCCAAGCGATCACACCAACATGCGAGCATGAGTGCTGTTCTGCCGGCGCTATCGGCGCGATCTTTGTCAGCATCAGCTTCCAATAGCAATCGCACAACCTCCGAATGACCTGCGCTGGATGCAAGCATTAGGGCTGTCCTGCCGAATTCTGTGCATGCGTGCATTATCGTAGCTTTGGCTTCCAGCAGCATGCGGGCAACCTCCAAGTGACCATTCTCAGACGCAAGCATTAGGGCTGTCATGCCTTCGTAACATCCGAAGTAACATTGGCAATTGGGGGATGCTCCAGCTTGCAGCAGCAATCCTGCAACCTCCCAAAAACCTTTCAGAGATGCCAGCAGTAGGCTTCGGACAACATACGCCCGCTTGCCGTCCCGGAGAAGACCGGCTTCCAACAAGCATCTCAGGGTGCTAACATCGTTCTGTTTAGCAGCTTCTTCAAGGTCTTCCTCAGCCGAAGCTAGCGTACTGCGTGATGAAAGGCCGGAAAAGGTAAGCAGCACCAACTGCAAGTCCATGGGGGCAGCCAGCCTGGTGTCATCATCTAAGATGCTGCCAGCATGGAGAAGTTGCTGCAAATACACAGGAAAGCCACATACCTCAAACAAATGCCCTTTCAGAGTCGCTACATCCTTGAAATCCTCTGCGCCCACGGCGACCAGCTCTTGCCCAGATGTTCTCCAAACATGAAGCATGCAGGAAGCAGTTGGCGACTGGCATCACTTGAACGGCTTCGCTGCAGCACGAGACAAAAGACTATAATAGACGAACCCGAATCAAAAGGAGCATTCTTCCTTCACGGTGTGGATGACATAAGCCCTAAAACTACACCCGAAACTTTACAACTCTAGCTGTCCTGCACTGACGCCGTGAAGCCCATGTTTTGGGAGAGGCTGGATTCTTACACAGGCGCTGCTGCACACCTTCTGCACCAGGGGGGGGGGGGGGGGGGGNNGCGGGTCCTGCTAAAATAGGTGTATTAGCAGATAAAGGTATGCAAGCATCACGGATAGCTTCTTTTAGTGAACATCAGTTACAGAAACGCTGCAACGTGCTTTGGCATCTGGTCCTGATATGAAGTAAGGCACTATTGACGTGCCTTACCTGCCTAACTCGGGGGCTGAGTACCCTGGCCCCAAACAGGTTAACCTTTTGAAT